GGTGGGGAAGGGTGCCCCCCCCCCCCCCCCCGCCGCTGCCAGGAGCACTGGCTGCTTTAGCTGGTTGCGCTGGAAGCTAGCAGCTGCATCACCACTAGCCACTAACCTGTCAGCTCCCGGCAGCTGCGTCTCTATCACCCAGGTCAGCGATGCTTCTGCTGCTGATCTGGCAGCAGCACTATCAGCAGCCCCAGCTTGTACGGTGCCGACAATCTAGTCTGACAACTTGTTATAAAATAAGAAGTAACCCGTAAAATTCTCTGTTTACATCTGCGTGTAAATTTGGCTGCTCTTGGCTAAACTCCCCCTATGATGTCAGGAGCTATAAAGGAAGGTTGAAAGTTACTCCAGTTGGCTACGGTGATGCAGAGGGCACCCATGTGTACTTCCAGTAAATGCCTGTCTCCAGTGACTAATACATGGTTCAAAGATTTCTCAAGTATCAGCAAAACACTCTGTTTAGCGATAAAAAAAAAAAAAGAAAAAACGAACCCATCACGGCACAACTTTTTGTCAATATAAGCAGCCAGATTCAAGCTGACATGGCAGTAATTCCTGCACCACACACAAGGCTGCGACTGCAGAGTGATTTTTCCTCCCAGACGCAGCAGGAGCGAAGCACAGCTGTACAGTCCACCAGCATATGGATTAAATAAATACAGTCTGCACAGAGCTTGTTAACACTTGTTCACTTGGCTACGACGTAGGCACATCAGAAAAATACATAACACACACACACCCGTATGTGCACACACCCAGACGTAGGAACACATGCAAGCTGCGTGTACACAACCACAAACAGGTACTCACGCACACACCAGTGATCATCCAATGAGAGTCAAACTGCCTGTGAATGGGTGCAGCCCTGGTTGTTGGGGGAGCATGTAGTGACACATACACAGGTCTAATGGTTTGGAAAGAAAGTCAAAAATGTGCCACACATATACACACCGTCAGTGGGAGAAAGGTTTTTTTTTTTTTTTTTTGCATGAGTAGCGTGTGTGTTAGCAATTAACAAAGATTCTGTCTGTGTGTGTGTGTGTGTGTGTGTGTATTGAGAGCAAATGTGTTCCTCTGGTATAATACCACTGAAATACTGAGCCACTATTTGGATTCAGGTCTCCCTCTGGCTATGTGGTCATTCTCTAACCTAATCTGATTAATGGATTTCAACCCTAGTTTTCGCTGCAAACACAGCAACACATAGAGGGGGGAGCAGGACAAATTGGTGGAGGCTTTGAAAACCAGCCTGGGCCCACCGGCCCTGTTTTGCCTGGTTACTGTTCTTAATCTAATGAATGGTCTTTTCCCCCAGAATGACTGGACAAAAAAAAAAAAAAAACGACTCTGAAAAACCAGTGGTGGAAAATGAACAAACAGAGCTGCCAACAATAGATGTATATATATATATATATAAAGCTGCCAACAATAGATGTATATATTTATATTTTTAACTTTAAATGTTAAATTAATGAAAAATATTTTCAACTTTTAAACCATGCACAAAATTATGTAACGGACAATTTGGCCTAATTAGCTGTTGTACATTTTTACTGTTTTGCAACCACAGATGAATGACCTCAGGTCAGTGAGACTGGTCTGACTGACTGAAGCTGACTGACACCAGTGCAAAACTGATTGCACACTAATGACTTAAATCCAACTAATGACTACTCTCTACCAACTGTTCTGTTTTGCCGGTAATTGGATACAACGATTATTGAATTAATCAATAAATGAACAAGAAGATCGTCTGATAATGGAAATTACTTTTACAGCCCCCAAAACAGCCTTAAAAGATCTACTGTTTAATCAGAGCTGCAGTGTGATCACAGCAAAGAGGGACTGTTACTGTTACTGTTACCATCCAGGGTCACTGACCTTTAACAGCAAATAATTAAAAACTGATCAGAAGCATGTGATGTATTCAGAGTAACATAATATGGATTGGAAATTAATTATACACTGGCAACAGCAAAGAAAAAACAAAAAAACCAAAAACACAGGATGGCAGTTCTGACACATTAAGTGTATTTTGCCAGAAAATACTGTCTAATGAACTAACATTAATCACAAAATAACTCTGATTCAAACAGAGGCCAGACTATATTAAATATTATTAACAGGACCAACAAATCACTTTGACTGATTTGATGCAATTTATTAAAAGTTAACAATTAATCAACTTAAATATGGAGTAATTAGTTGACATGACAGCAAGTCACACCATGTTTTTTTTTACTGCTACTAATAATGAAGAATGTCTCATCAGTAATAAATCCAAATTAGGTGAAGCTGGGGGGGGCAGGGGGGTAGTACCTGCTGCATGGTGTGTGTCTGTTTGTGTGTGTGTGTTTCTAAGAGTGTGGGAACTCAAAGTGATACATCCTGTTGCATGTTAAGTTCTGAGATGAGCTCATCTCTGAGACACAATGAGCAACCGGACGACCCACTTTCAACAAATAGGTCAGCAGGTAACTTCCATGTGAACACAACTGTTCCGTCGCCCCGGGTTCCACCGTGACCTCTGGTGCTATGGTGTGAGGAAACAGCAGTGTAACACACACACACACACACACACCCAGACAACAACCAGGAGAGAGAGAGAGAGAGACAGAGAGATCCTGACCACATGAGGATTTA